TCTCTCTTTGATTTTCCCTCTTCAAAAGAGACCTCTTTTATTAAAAATTCCATCAAGAATACAATTGAAAGAAAGTTGTTTCTCAAATTCACCTGCCTTAAGATAAATAATCTGATTATGACATGTTTGAGGGTTTAAATTACGCGAAGACCAATAGGCACACAGCTCACAGTGATATATAACTCCAGATGAGTATATACAAACTTATTCAGTATGTCATTTCTGTTGTTTAAAAACATGACGATTTACCAAAATATTACTGAAGATGGAGAGGGGGAAACCTACGAGCGCCTGTTTTGCTCTCAGGAATTAACTGTAGGAATTCACGGCCATCTGATATTTCTTTCGGTGTTCAATTTCTTACTGGCCATTTGTTCATCTCTGGGGAATATTCTGATCCTGATTGCCCTTCACAAAGAGACATCTCTTCACGCACCGTCCAAACTGTTTCTCCGATCCTTGGCTTTAACTGATCTCCTCGTTGGCGTCATCTCCGGGCCTCTAACTATCACCTACTGGATGTCCGCGGTCAGAAAGCGGTGGGATGACTGCTACAACACATTTTTCACGAGCATCATCGTGGGTTATCTTCTTTGTGGCATGTCTTTGTTGACAGTGACTGCAATAAGCGTGGACAGACTTCTTGCCTTGTCATTGGGACTGAGATACAAACAAACTGTGACTCTGAACAGGGCACGAGCGATCGTTCTTGTATTCTGGATTTTTTGCACGGTATGCTCCGCGTTGCATGCACATAATGCTCGCATAACAACTTGGTGCACCCATATAACGATACCTGTTTGTTTCGTGACCTCAGTTTCGTCTTATACAATGATTTTCAGGAAACTCCACCAACATGAAATTCAAGTGCACAGCAACATTATCCAGTGTGAGCAATCAAGCAACTCAAGTTCAGGGCCACTAAATATTTCTCGGTACAGAAAAGGAGTGTCCAGTGTAATGTGGCTGCAGTTAGTAGTAGCTCTTTGTTATCTTCCACATGGTATAACTACAGCTTTGTGGACCTATAGTGGAAAGTCGTCCTCTGTTACAGTGCTCAGACAATTTACAGTGACTTTAGTTTACTTGAATTCAGCTCTAAACCCATTGCTTTACTGCTGGAAGATCAGAGAAGTGAGACAATCTGTGAAAGAAATAATTAGAAACACACTTTGCTGCTCATGAGGTGCAAGGCTGGAAATGGTCTTCCCCTCCTTCCCTTGTTGCTTTCTTGAATTGATGAAGGCTTGGGGTTTGGTTAGAGCCGCGCATACTCTCTCTCCAACAGTGGCCCTTTCTTCTATAATATTTCCAGCCCTTTCACGGACTCCTTGCTAAGACTGAAGTTGTCGTCGTTCGAAGAAAACAGTGTTAAACGCGATTAATTTCCTGCATCAATATGACAGATTTGGGCAAGTAGTGACTGTGAAAGAGAACAGGTGTTCTTTTCAAATGATGCACTTTCTAATTTCAAGATATCAAGCAAGATGGAGATTAGGCTGATATTACCATTTCTCTCAACTGTGGTGTTTGTCAACTACAATAAATTTTTTTGCTAATTTGTGTGAAAAAATCGACGAAACTTACATTGTAAGGCTAGAGGCATTTAACTGAGTAAAAGGAAACTTAATCTATTTTTAGAAGGAATTTCCATCGGTTAAATATTAGATATGCAATACGCTTGACGTATAACTCGTCCTGTTTTAAAATAAAATAAGAATTTGCTTGGTACAAATTTGTTCGTATTTCGGTGACTATAGTTTCATCCCGTATTATCATTTACATTTCAGAACCATATTTGTATATTCCTTGTGCTCTATTGTTGTCATATAATTTGAAAATTTGAGATCAGACTCGTCTAACAGGAAAGGAAACACCTTTCTAATAGTTTTTTTTACCTCTTTTTCTAAGCAGGTGTTAACATTGAACAGATTTTAATGATTGAAAATCTGCATTAAAATTGACGTCAAGAGCGTCGAAATAAATCCTTTTTTTATTCCATATGAATGAAATAATCGGCAGTGGCTCCCTCTCCTCTTAATCGTGTCCTCTTCAAGTGAGACGGCTTTAATTAAAAATGCCATTAATGGAGTAATTAAAGGCAAGCCATTTCTGAATTTCACCTGTTTGAAATGACTCCTCAGTTTGAACACGCAAACTGTAATGAGCAGATACCTCCATGGGGGTTCTCAGTGCGGTGATGGCTTTTACGGCAGACAGTTTCAAAAATTTTGGCCATTTTACGGCTAACGGTTAATATAATTCTACTGTTTTCCCCAGAATTTATTTTTTAACGGTTAACTTCTTTTACGGCTATCTGTTAAAATTTTTCCGCCTCACGGCTAAAGTTTTTGGCCGTTTTACGGCTATGGATTAACCCAATTAAAACCCTCCTCCGCATTTATATCAACAGCTGATTGAGAGGAAATTCGTGGATATATTTTTCTATTGCCCAGGTCGCATTATTTGGGTTTCAAATCCAGAATTACTTTTTATTTTGATCTGGAAGCATTACAAGGATAAATATAACTATGAACAAATCCCTACGTACCCAATAAAAATTGCAATGACGTAACATATTCATGATAATAGCGTCTTAAATAAAATATTGACAACAACTGCACATGTATATTTATGAAGAATGAAAAGAAAACAGAATCAGTAAAAATCCATAACCAGGAGGTTTGGTTCGACTTGGGAAGGTTGTTAAGATATGTGTTTCTGAAAAACAACTGATTGATAGGCGGATTGATGTAAATTCTACGTTATATTACAGGTTAGGTTATAAATGGTATTAAAAAAACAACAACATCAATAACAGCAAGAGAGTCTTTATTTAGAGATCTTGTTCTCTAAATGGTAGAATATTTTCATGCCGTATGGATTCTTTTTGGACCAGAGAACATTGCTTTAAAGAAAGTTAAGTAATACATGCCCCTAAATCCATAATATATTCGAGGCATAAATTAGCGAAAGCAAGACATCTTCACCTGGCGCAGTTAGCGTATCAATAATGTCTTTTCCTGTGAAGATATCAATGTTATCATCATGGTAATTGTGTTTATCAACATGGCACTTTTGTTTCACGACGTTTTTTCTTTCTTTTTTTTTAATATAAGATTGATTTCAACTCCGTAGTAGTAAAACATCTTTTGTAACGGAAACTGTTCTATTTTCGCGTCAGAAAATTAAAGCAGCTTTCTTGCAGGTGATCACTGCATTCGGTGCTGTTAAAATATCTTTTAAAGTGGTCTATCATCTAAACACAATATATATGAAATAGATAGAACTTTACAAGTCTACATGTGAATAAGAGTTCATCTTCTCAAGTTGATGAAAAATCTGTCTACAGTGGCGGTCACCCACGGAGAATTACCGCTTAATACATGTAACGATGTTACTTGAATGGCCGCGCAATAATCCAGATTATTACACGATTCGGGCAGTCAGAGGGCCAATAACTAAAATCAACCAATCAAAATGCTCTATTGCCGGTCCAATATTCTCTAAGTATTGGACCGGGCACTGTCCCGAATGGTCCCGAATGATACCGCACTTGTGTCCCTTTGAACTTCAGTCGTATAATAAATCTCTTATTAACCAAGCTTGCTCGGGACCGTACTGGAAGAATATCGGCCCTCGGTCTTTTTTGTACGGACCTCGCTACGCTCGGTCCGTACTGTCAAGACCTCGGGCCGATATTCTCCCAGTACGGCCCTCGCGCTTGGTTAATAAGATATATATATTAATGATCTCCCTAACTGTAACCTCC